GATGGATGGTATAGATCCAAAGATACTGGAAATTAAGGGAATTACCTTCAATTTACACCAATGGAAATGAGGTAGCCTGCACTTGAAAACAACAGTGAGAATAGTCTGAAAGTGTTCATCTTTCATGTGATTCTAAAAAATAATCGCCTGATCTTTGCATGCCATAGAGGTGGAAAAAGAAGACAATAAAGCTTTTAAACAATAAAAAACAAATGGATCACAAAGACCCAGAAAAAGAAGGATCTACAAGGAAAAAAAATCAATAAGCTGTCATAAGCAGAGATTTATCATTTACATATACGTAGCTTATGTTTCCTTCCAAATGTAAATACTGCGCATTTCTGTTTTCATACCTAGATTTATCCACACTAAATACATGAGCCCTTAAGCAAAGTCTAGAGCTGCAGACAGCTGAATTGGTAGAGGTGACATGAGATGGCACAGGCAGTCTGTATCACTCTTCTGCTCCATACTCAAGACTTTCCAAGAGCAGTAACTGTCATCATGTTCTCGGCTGCTTCCAAGCCAAACCATACCATGTAGTAGACACTTGGCATTAGACAGACTGGTGACACTATGTGGTGGTTCCCAAATGTTGCACAGTGAAGGAGGAAAATGCCATGGGGAGAGCAATGCTGAGGAGCACAGATTCACATGGACTAGAAAGTTGGGAGAAACAGAAAATGGAGGGACAATAAAGCTGGCCTACAGGACATTGTTCTTGATTATACCTGACCTGTTTTAGCTGGGGTAATTCTACTTGCTGCTAGCAACAAGCATTTCCTAATGTACTTTAGCATTAGACATTACATCCTCTAATATTTATTGAATTGCATTTGTCAGCTGGCCTCCATGCAGTTCTCTGTTTTAGGGTGTCCTTTTGACTCTAAACAACTGCCTCAGCACTTTGTTTTAAACGATAGAAATATATGGATTTTTGAGATTACTTAAGGAGTTCTACAGGGCAGAAAGAGATCAAGTTTGAGATCCATCAGCTGGGATACTGACCTGGAAGCTAAATGCATGTGTTACTCCGAAATGCGTTTTAGATATTTATGATGTTCAGTCAAAGAATATCTCATTTTGTTTATTGCCACAGAGTCATCTGATTCTGTTGGAACAAAGCAATCTTGATCTTGCTTGAGTCCATTTGGCAAGATGCTAAGGCAAATATCTTGATCTTATTAGTATATCAAAAGAAAATAAACTTTTTAAAGGAGTTATTAAAGAGCAAAATTCAAAGAGGTGGTTGCTCATTTACAACTTTCTGTTCTTAGCTTAATTTTGAGTACAAGATGCACAGTCTTACTGGGCTGCTAGTATCCACTGGCACCACCACTTCGGTTTTCCTGAAAAAGGATGTTGGAGTTTTGGCCACAGCAAAATGCTTTCAAACAATCGGGTTGTCTTTAGAAAATAGTTCCAAATTTCTATCTAGAAACATCTCATGTTGGAAACTCACAGGCAGTGATTTGGAAATGGCATGTCTGTGATGGTTACCAAAGGCAGCTCTGGCCAGTTCCCCAAAATTTAACTGCAAGAACGAGCCCTTGGAGCTGGTATGCCAGTGATGCGTGCTAGTGGCTCTCAGGCTGACCTGGTAGGACCGCTAAAAAAATGAGATGGGGCCCCTGTGGAACTGCCAGGGAGTCACAATTAATACTAATTGCATGGGAAATCATTGTAATGCTATGGTGGTTCATCAGGGGCCTGGAACGTGTTCAGAGTTGTGCTGCACCCAAGGACTGTGTGTCTCTTGTTGTTTGTCACTAGAAGTAAACCCTTCATTGCTTACCGCAGTGTTCAGTTGCAGTATTTTAAGGTCTGAATTATAATTAACGTGAAGAAATGTGGAACGGCTACCATGCATCATGTAGCTTGGCTTGGGAACATTTGAGTTAAACTGTGAAATTCCAGTTGGTCTCAGCAGGGATCGCCGCTCACTTCCCTGCAGGCAGGGCGAGATAACTTCTCATTTGCTGATAGAAAAGAAAACAAACTTGGAGTGTATGCTGTGCACATATGAGAGTGTGCTTTTTAAGAGGGAAAAAAATATATACAGGCATGTAATTGTGAAAGGCTTGCCTCTTAGAAGTGCTGCCACTTTCCTCTCCACATACTGACAGCTGCAAACAGCTGCCGGGAGGGTGACCTGTTGCCTCATCACACAATTTTTGGGTGAGGAAAGCGTATAATTTTCCTGCCTTCTGGAGCAGGAAAATGGCACTGCCATGTGCAGCCTGGCCAGGAGCTGTGGGGTGTGTGTGGCTCTGGAGCCCCATGGCAGCACAGCATCGCCGCTGCGTCCCGCAACCACGAGCAGAGGTTTGGGTGGGCGGGTGGGGTGGCCTTTGTAGCGCTGGCCCTGCTGTGTCACCAGACTGCTGTTCATCACAGCCAAGGCTTCAAGTCGAGAGTTGCACTTGGGGTGACTCCTCCCCTGCTTCCGATGCTTGCTCACGCAGCCACCCACAGCCCTGAGAAAAAAACGTGTGAGGTGAAGCGGGGAGCCACTGCCACGGCCTTCACCTCCCCTCCAGCCACCACCTCCAGGTAACGCAGCGAGGCTTCGGCTGATCAAAAATACACTGCTTCTTTCCCTCATCACTCCTCATCAGAATAAGCAAGAAGAAGGAAAGTAGAAGTGCATGGCTGTGCATTAGGGTGTCTTTGTGGTAGAGCCCGCTGCCAGGGCGGACAGAGGCAGCTTTGTGCACGGACTGCCGCGGGCTGGCAGCCGCCAAGGTGGAGGTCCGGCCGTGCATGCAGAATCGCAAAGTGAAGGAGGTCAGGGCTGGAGCTCCTGGAGCTGCATTATCCGAGCTGCTGACAGCTCCTCCTGGTGTCCTCCGCACGGCAGAAATGGGGGCCTGGACGCAGAGGTAATGCTCTTATCCCTGTGGTGGCACGGCGGTGATTGCCGCTGTCTGGTTATTAATTGAAGGGTGTGTGACAGCGCGGGGAGAAGTTTGGAGTCCGCGGTGCTCTGCAGGAGAGCAGCTCCGTGGCTGTCGTGCTGCAGCTGGGGGTGTTTGGAGTTCGTCTGATCCCTGTGTGAGGGTTTGGTTTGCATTACAATCAGTGAGAAAAATCTGTGTTCCCATCAGAGAGAGAAAAGACCATTTCGTCTCGTGCTTTCTTTCATACTTTCTAAGCCAGAAGCTACTATACATATGCAACGTTAAACGGGTTTTGCTAATAGAAATACATTAACATACAGCCATTAGGCAAGGTAAATACTTCTTCCTATTAGCAGTTCCTCACCCCTGCAGGTACTCGGGGTGCATAAACTGCTCCGTTCAGTGGGAAAAAAATTAACATTTGTTCCACACACCTCAGCAGAAATAAAAATGCATTTATTTTTTTCAACCACTTTGGAATAACTAAGAGTAGGCAGACTGTGCTAAACAGATTTTACGCTGGTATGCAGTTATTTCTCCTGTGTCCTTACTACTTCAATTATATTTTTAGTGTGTTTTTTGTTGTTGTTGTTCTATTTTTCTATTTTTAAAATGAAGATATATTTTGTCTGAGCAACTCTCAAGGTCTTTCTTGCTGCCCTTATTGCTGTTTGTTCCTTACAGTTGTTAACTGTATTCCTGAGAGTTTGTGCTGCTGTTTTGGTAGATAATGACAGTGGTGGTAGAGGTGAGCACCCAGTGGCTGCTGCTCATGCTGTTTGCCCTGGCTGATGTGCCTGCAGGCACGAGCACTGCACATCCCTAGCACAGGTCCAGGCTTGGAGCGCTGACTGTCACAAGCAGGCTTTGAAAGATACTGGGATTTGGAGGGAGGGGGGGGAATTTTTACAAGTAGGGGGATCAGAGAGGAGGGCAGTGTCATTTAGCTTAGGGATATGGTTTAGTGGGGACTGTTAGTGTTAGGTCAGAGGTTGGACTCGATGATCTTGAAGTCTCTTCCAACCTAGAAATTCTGTGATTCTGTGATTTGTGCACTGCAGGGGTCTACTCTTTTTTTCCAGCGTGTCTGCGGCAGCTCCTTTGGTCGCCTGGGATTCGGGAGGGCATAGCTGGTGCCTCCTGTTCGCCTGGTGGCACGTACCAGCCCCAGGGGACACACACAGCTCTTGTGCCGCTGCTTGGCCTTAATCTTCAGGGAGCAACTGTTTCAAGGAACAACCGTGTTGCCTTGAATGAGAAACTCTGGAAAACATCCCACCAGTGACAGCAGCAGCTGGTGCTGATCACCCTGGGCACCCGTCTGCCAAAACCAGTGGCACTGGCTAGGTGGCCGGCCAAATTATCCAGCTGTGCAACTGCTGGATAGCTGTCCAAGTGGGACAGCAGGTGAGGAAGTCTGGAGGAAACAACATTTGTCTGTTGTTACCCCCAGAAGAGGGAGGAGTGGAGCCCGAGATTAGATGCTGGATGATCTTGGACATTTTGGGGACCAGCAAGGGTGGGAATCCCAAACTGGAGCTCGTCTGCAGAAGCCAAAAAATGGAACCAGAGTGATTAAGTTGGCTGCAGTTCACACCCATTATTCAGCAGATGCTTTGCTGTAGGCACTCATGTCAGGAAATAAAAATGTCCGTGGATAAATACAGTTTTCAGTTAAATCAGAATTGCTCAGTTATTACTGTGAATACACTGGGTTAGGATGGTGTAGAGCCTGTTGCTTTACTTTACAATTTCTTTCACTGCTATGTTTCAATTGGCAAACAGTTACATGGTCTCATTCTCTATTAGTTGGAAAAAGTGAAACAACTTTGTCTCCCACACATCAAACTATCCTGCTTAAAGTTCATGAGCTGAATGCTGCATGCCTCATTTATACGGTGGCGTTTATAACCCATTTCCTCTGGAGTACACGACACCAAGGCAGGGTCAATTTAAAATAGATAGCTTTCCCTTACATAGTCGACTTTCATCTATTGTATATGTTTCTGTAAACAAAAAGATGCAGCAGTTTGTGATGGGCGTCAGCACAGGCACAGCCTTTGCAGTAACCTCTTAACCAGAGCATCATCTTTTTTTCAGCACAGAAGCTTTTGCTCCCTGCCTGGGACATCCCGTATGCAGACCTGCGTGGGCATTGCTGTAAGGTAAGGAGCACACCCAGCAAGGGTTGGGAATTATAAGTCTTTCTTTCTAATTTTGCATTGCTGCCGAGTTTCCACGTGAGGAATTAATTCACTCTGCATCTGTTTTGCTTTCAGAAGGATTTGCATGCGTTTGATAGTGAGAAGCGTGTGATCAAATTTAACTGTTTATTGTGTAGATGATAATGTGCCTTAAATGATATGAAAGTTTACAGTCATTAATACCTTTTTATTTTTTTTGTCCTGTGAGCTTTAAGCAGCCCATTCAGGGAGAGGGCCACGCGGGCCTTTGGCACAGCTCTTTGTGCTGCAGGTCTCTACACAGCATCAGTTGCAGTATTTTATTCATTTATATTAAAAGAATAGAGTTTGGTGGGTTTCCTGAGTCCCAGGAATGCTACCACTTTGTGGCCTTCCCCTGCCATCTGTAGTGTTGCTTTTCCTGCTCAACTCTTCCCTTCTTTTCCCGATTCTCTCCTAAATCCCATAGGGTCATATAGCAACCATTTGTCTGCTCCTTTTGGGGAGAATTTGGCTTCCTTTAGTGCTACCAAACAAGAGGGTGGTGGGACTTCACTGTCTCACTCAGCAGCAGCCCCTGTCCTCTCTGTGTGCCTCCTACAAGTGATCCTATGGTCACAGCCCTGTTCTTATCTCCTCTCCCAGCACTGACACACATCATGCTTCAACCCACCTTGCGCACCAAGCGGGCAAGTGAGTGATCAATGAATGGAGAATCTGTCTGAAATGCAATGACTGGAAAAGGTGTAGCTCTTCTAAATGTGGGTTCTGGAAGACAGGCTTTCATGCAGTGCTAGACAGACAGCACGGCTGGCATGGGTACTGTAAAGGCCAGGCATGTTAGCATAGTATAGCTGTGCTGCTTTTTTTCCCTAATCTGCTTGTTTAGAGACACCCAGAATATTTATCTTAATCATCTGTTTCCGCTGCAGAGTAGGTACAGGAGGAAATACCACAGAGAGCCCTGTCACTGGGAAAGCGCATCATTTGAATGTGCAATGTAAATATTTTAACTAACTGAATGTAAACACTGTTTTGCCTTCAGTATGGGAAAAGCCTGTCGCAGTCAAAAACGAGCTGACATAAAAGTGACCCTGTATAGAGGAGATACAAAATTGCATTCGCACATTATGGTAATCAAAATAAAGTGCTTAATGAATTGCATAGTGTGAAATGAATTACAAACACAAATGTGCCCGACACAAGATGATCGGAAGTTGCTGCTGCATTAGCTTGAGAAGGAAGGACTTTGATGATTGATGGGGATCTGAGGTCATGGGAAGGCTGGTGTGTGCTACAGGGAGGCTGAGGACTCTGGAGGAGATCTTAAACCATAAGTATGCTCTGCATGTCTCCATGACTCTGGCTATGACTTATTTTCACCATGCCAATGGAGCCAATGCAGAAGTTTCCAAGGATCAGAAGCAACAAAGGCAGATAGATACAGTAAGAAGCACCTCATTTCATTCACACATTTGTTGTGGTGTTTTTTCGGTTGCTGGATTCAAAGGAAAGCAGAGTTGTTAGACAGCTTAGAGAGGTTGCTCGTTAGCTCTACCTACACTGACTTCTTAAGTGCTTGAGGACAGGGCTTTAAGGATGGCACTTGTGTCCAAGTCACAAAAGTAGACATGAACAATTGCAAGATGCCAATATTGCAAGTGATATTGAAGATCATGTCACTGAGAAATTTAGGGACATGCTGGAAAATGAACTATAAACATTTGGTGCTATTGCTTGAATGTGAAGACCTGGAGTATGTAAAGAAACAGCCTTGTGGCTTTTTATCTTTCTCATGGACAAGATGGTCAATTGGTATGTGATAAGAAACCAGACATGGGTTTAACTTCCAGTGCCGAGTTAGGTCCTGAAAAATAGTGGTATAGCAGAGATCGTGGAATCCTCCAGATACCACTCAACTTTATCATCTAGTAAATGCAAAGAAGTAGAGACCCTACATGGTCATCAACCATTCCTCAAATTCCTATACGGGAGAAACGTCTGGAGGTGATTTCTTCGGCTGTGCCTTCTAGCCTGTGGATTGTTAATGTCAAAAGAGGGGTGAAATGACGCAGAGGATTTGATTGGACTCCATCGCTCGTGAGAAATTAGTTAGATATTATTTCCGTAGGCACAGGTCTATGTAAACATCCAAGCAAGTAAGCCCTTGTTGGTTTTTTTTTTTTCATAGATGAGAGATTTATTTTTTTAAGATATTTTTTTCTTATATTACAAAAAAGGTTAATATGTATACATCCATCTTGGATGTGCTGCTACTTTGCTCAAACAGCTGGAAACAAACATTTGCACATAGATCTCAGCTAAAAATGTCATTCCCTAGTTTAAAAACCTATATTGTGTTTTGTCATTCTCCTTGTTAGGAAAGGAGCTATCGAAATACAAGGAAAAGACGAAAGGGAAGAGTAGTCCCCAGTGATAAATGCTTACAGTGGGAGCACAGATAAATCACAACCAGTGTAGCCTAAGTGGCATCGTCTGCCATTGCTGCTGTAGCCAAAAGAGCAGATCTATTAAAAGTAAAAATTATCCAGAGAGAACAGAAGAAGCCAAATAGTCTAAGTCATCAGTAAAGACAGGAATTATTCTGAGTATAGAGTAGGTTTTGTTTTTGTGCAGATACAAATTGTTTTTCTAGATGAGACTAACTTAGACATTATTCTTAAATAAAACTTCCATTGCCTGCAAATCAATCATTTTATGCAATAACATCATGTAACTATTCTCTCAGATGTAGATAAACCAAGATGTAGATAAACCAAGTGTCTTACCACTCAGACAGATATATCAATTTTCATGAGAAAGCATTGATACATTCAGAAAAAATAACTCCTATTTTCCATTTAGGAATGGGAACCTCATAAGTTTATTATTTATTTATTTATTTTTAAGAAGAAAGAAAAAAACCTGCTTGTTTTAGCATGGGAGAAAAGGTAAGAACAGATTAGTTTGTAGTACTGAATTCATAGCATTGCTCTTCTGAAAGAAAATATTGCTATTTGAAAAAGAACTTTAGGTGGTTGATGAGAGGGAGAGAATTTAAGAGGAGGGAGGAGAAACATAGCTGAAAAATCTTTGGAATGACACTGTAAACTTCAGGGAGGAAAGGAATTAGATAAAAGAATCTGTGAGAGTGAAAATAATAACGTGAAGGGGAACAGATTGTGCTGGTGAGATCTTTTGGCCTAGGTTTTAAAAAGAATTCAGAATATGATCTGCAATCTACATCTTTGTTTGGGAAGGGGAATAGGGATTTTTCCATTTATGGTAAAATGTAGTAATAATGTCAGCTGTTAAAACATTTTAAAATCTGCTTCAAACTGATTATTTATTGCAGTGTTAAAGATAGGCTGTTGTGGTCAGAAGAAAGAGAGGAGTTGGAATCAGTCCCAAAAAGTGCATGAAAGGATAATTTATATTTCCCCTCCAAGCCAGAAACTCTGTGAGTGAGGAGCAGTGGGACTGCTAGTCCAGTCCAGCTCACTGTCACTCAGTTATGAGACTGTGTTTTTTAAGAAGCCTTTTTGGATATAGTTGTAAGTGAACAAGTCTCAAGGATCAAATCTCTAGGTGGAACTTGGTAGTCTCCATGAAAACCAGGGATAAATAAGATGTGTATTTTGAGTCTGAAAGTGAGGCTACCTTTCTGAGGCATGTGAGGACCCATCCCAAGCATTCCTGGCATACACCCGAGAACTGGCTCTTGCAAGATGGCATTTCTAGGGAGGGTAGCTGGGCTGCACAGGAACTCCCACACCTCAGAAGCCACACCGTGGTGCAGAATAGCCTCTGATCTTTGCCCACCTAGTCATTTCTAATGGAAAAACTGGAGGGAGCACAGTCTTCAAATTTAAATCTACCTATGACCTGGTCCAGGTGAACAGCAATAACTTTCAGCATTAGGTAAGTCTGTCTGTGAGATGAGTTTATATTTAAGCTGCCATAGACTGTCACTAGCTGTAGACAAGCCACTGTCATCAGACTAAATTAGTTTCTTAGCTCTGCTCTTGTGGCACAGCCAATTTCATTTCAGTGTATGTCAATTAAGTAGAGTATGCTCTAATAATATTTTACATTTACACAGCACCTCTCATCCCAGAGTACTTTATAAATCATGTATATTCAACACCACTGACCTTTCACAGTCCCTTGAGTGCAGGAGAGCGACCATTTTACAAAAGCAATACAAACCATAGGATTTTTTTTTTCCTCTCGAATACTGGGGTGAACCCATTTATTATAGAATAAATTATATGTTTTCTAAGCTACAGCTCCAGTTTTTAAAGATACTTACTGAAAACTTCATCAAGATAAGGTGCATGATCCTACATTTTGTGTACAGCATGGACAAAGAGCTATTCCATCTTCCCAACACTGGACCTTTAGCATCAATTCAGTCTTGCATCTAAATGAACATAAAATGTCAACACCTCTATGTCTTGACTGTCATTTTATCTGTAAATTGTCACCTCTTCTGGCAAGAACACATCTGATAAAAATCTTATAGTCTGCATTCTTTCTCGGATGTTGAGGATCCTCCCAACTTAGTGTAGGTACAGCAAAGTAGATACAATAGAAAACCCATTAAATCCCCACTGAGGGGTTCAAGTGTAACTCATCTTCCAGGATATCAAGGTCAGAAAAGTGAGCATGGCTATGTGTTGGGCCAGCATATGCAGAGGAGAGATGAGCAAGGCCAAAGGCACAAGAAGGAGGAGGTAAATGGCGATGCATCAATCTTCCTGGCATTCAGTGTCCCTTCCCATAAACATTCAGAGGGTGATACAAAGCCTGTTGAGATCCATTTGTGTCTATCCCTGCTGCATTGGAGCTGTGAGGGCTGGCAGTGGCCATGGGGGGGCTGTGTGAGGTCCTCAGTCTGCTGGAGCATCTTCCCTGTCATGTGCTGGAGCTCAGCTGATCTGCAGGACTCCCTAGGTGAGGGCAAATTCCCTCTATTTACT